GAAAAACAGCCCAGGGCAGTGGTACAGACGGTCAGTAAAGGGGTATCTGGAGACTTGGTCATGTGGCCTACAGCCATGAAACCCCGTGTCCCTTGGCTTCCTCATTCATAAAATGGGAAAAGGAAAGTTGTCCTGCTCTCTTTGGGGTGCCACAAAGGACAAAGAAAGGTATCTAGGACACAGAAAAAAAAAAAAAAGACTATGGTAGGTTACAGAGTGCTATATGCATGATAATTTAAATTATTTTCCATATTTCCATTTGAAAGGTGGAATTTTTACTTCTCCTTTTCTAAATGTCCCTCTTCATGGGGTGGCACCATGAAATTGAATCATCTCAGTTCATGGAACTATTAGAAGTTGATTTAGAGAAGACAAATCACTATTAAGAGGTAAAAAGCACTGTCTCTATTTTTTTTTTTTTTTTGCATTTTGAGAGACAAATGTTATTAATAATGGATTGCTTTTATATTGATACAGATTTGCGCACAAAGAGCTGAAGTACTTTATATGTAATATCTTCTGTATCATCAATAGCAGGCTAGGCTTTTCCTTGGAACTAAATGAAATTTCTTCTCTGATCCTTTTTCCTTTCTTGTCCAGCTTAAATACAATTACAGAAAACATTTTAGAGCTGCTGGCTGCACAGTTAGGGACTATGAAGTATGGAGGAAATGGAAAGTCCGGCTTTGTGATGCCATCAGCTTTGGTTTTCTTTTTCTACATTCCTCTGGCTATTCAGGTCTTTTCTCGTTCCATACAAGTTTTAGGATTATTTGTTCCATCTCTGTGAAAAAAGTTGATGGCATTTTGATGGGATTGCATTGAATGTGTAGATTGCTCTAGGTAGCATAGATATTTTAACAATATTTATTCTTCCAACCCACAAGCATGGAATGTTTTTCCATTTCTTTGTGTCTTCCTCAATTTCTTTCATGAGTATTTTATAGTTTTCTCAGTACAGATCCTTTGCCTCTTTGGTTAGGTTTATTTCTAGGTATCTTATGGTTTTTGATGCAGTTGTAAATGGGATCGACTCCTTAATTTCTCTTTCTTCTGTCTCATTGTTGGTGTATAGAAATGCAACTGATTACTGGGCATTGATTTTATATCCTGCCACTTTGCTGAATTCCTGCATGAGTTCTAGCAATTTGGGGGTGGAATCTTTTGGGTTTTCCACATAGACTATCATGTCATCTGTGAAGAGAGTTTGACTTCTTCTTTGCCGATTTAGATGCCTTTTATTTCTTTTTGTTGTCTGATTGCTTGGGCTAGGACTTCTAGTACTATGTTGGAGAGTGGGCATCCCTGCCATGTTCCTGACCTTAGGGGAAAAGCTCTCAGTTTTTCCCCATTGAGAATGATATTTGCTGTGGGCTTTTTGTATATGGCTTTTATGATATTGAGGCATGTTCCCTCTATCCCTACATTGTGAAGAGTTTTAATCAAGAAAGGATACTGTACTTTGTCAAATGCTCTTTCTGCATCTATTGAGAAGATCATATGGCTCTTGTCTTTTCTTTTATTCATGTAGTATATCATGTTGATTGATTTGCAGATGTTGATCCAACCTTGCAGCCCAGGAATAAATCCCACTCGGTCATGGTGAATAATCCTTTTAATGTACTGTTGGATCCTATTGGCTAGTATCTAGGTGAGGGTTTTGGCATCAATGTCCATCAGGGATATTGGTCTGTAATTCCCCTTTTTGGTGGGGGTTCTTGTCTGGTTTTGGAATAAAGGTAATGCTGGGCTCATTGAAAGAGTTTGGAAGCTTTCCTTCCATTTCTATTTTTTGGAACTGTTTCAGAAGAATAGGTATTAATTCTTTAAATGTTTTGTAGAATTCCCCTGGGAAGCCATCTGGCCCTGGGCTCTTGTTTGTTGGGAGATTTTTGATTACTACTTCAATTTCCTTGCTGGTTATGGGTCTGTTCAGGTTTTCTCTTTTTCCTGTTTCAGTTTTGGTAGTTTATATGTCTCTAGGAATGCATCTATTTCTTCCAGATTGCCTAATTTGTTGGCACATAGTTGCTCATAATATGTTCTTATAATTGTTCATATTTTTTCAGTGTTGGTTGTGATATCTTCTCTTTCATTCATGATTTTATTTATTTGGGTCCTTTCTCTTGTCTTTTTGATAAGTCTGGCCAGGGATTTATCAATCTTACTAATTCTTTCAAAGAACCAGCTCCTAGTTTTGTTGATCTGATCTGCTCTACTGTTCTTTTGGTTACTATTTCATTGATTTCTGGTCTAATCTTTATTAATTCTCTTCTCCTGCTGGATTTAAGCTTTATTTGCTCTTCTTTCTCTAGCTCCTTTAGGTGTAAGGCTAGGTTGTGTATTTGAGACCTTTCTTGTTTCTAGAGAAAGGCTTGTATTGCTATATACTTCCTTCTTAGGACCCTCTTTGCTGCATTCCAAAAGTTTTGAACAGTTGTGTTTTCATTTTCATTTGTTTCCATGAGTTTTTAAAATTCTTCTTTAATTTCCTGGTTGACCCATTCATTCTTTAGAAGCATGCTCCTTAGCCTCCTTGTATTTGAGTTCTTTCCTCTTGTGATTGAGTTCCAGTTTCAAAGCACTGTGGTCTGAGAGTATGCAGGAAATTATCCCAATCTTTTGGTACTGGTTGAGAACTGATTTGTGATCCAGTATGTGATCTATTCTGGAGAATGTTCCATGTGCACTCAAAAAGAATGTCTATTCTGTTGCTCTAGGATGGAATGCTGTGAATATATCTGTGAAGTCCATCCAGTCTAGTGTGTCATTCAAAGCCCTTGTTTCCTTGTTGATCTGCTTAGATGATCTGTCCATTGCAGTGAGTGGGGTGTTAAAGTCCCCTACTATTATTGTATTATTATCGATGTGTTTCTTTAATTTTGTTATTAATTGGTTTATATAATTGGCTGCTCGCATGTTAGGGACATAAATATTTACAATTGTTAGATCTTGTTGGATAGATGCTTTAATTATGATATAGTGTCCTTCCTCAACTTTTATTACAGTCTTTAGTTTAAAATCTAATTTGTCTGCTGTAAGGATTGCCACCCCAGCTTTCTTTTGATGTCCATTAGCATGATAAATGGTTTTCCACTCCTTCACTTTCAGTCTGGAGGTGTCTTTGGGTCTAAAATGAGTCTCTTGCAGGGCTGCCTGTGTGGCTCAGTCATTAAGCATCTGCCTTCAGCTCAGGTCATGATCCCAGGGTCCTGGGATTGAGCCCCACATCAGGCGCCCTGCTCGGCGGGAGGCCTGCTTCTCCCCCTCCCACTCCCCCTGCTTGTGTTCCTGCTTTCGCTATCTCTCTCTGTCAAATGAATAAATAAAATCTTTAAAAAAATAAAAAATAAAATGAGTCTCTTGCAGACAGCATATTGATGGGTCTTATTTTTTTTATTCAGTCTGATACCCTGTGTCTTTTGATTGGGGCATTTAGCTCATTTACATTCAGAGTAACTATTGAAAGATATGAATTTAGTGCCATTGTATTACCTGTAAAGTCCCTGTTTCTGTAGACTGTCTCTGTTCCTTTCTGGTCTGTGTTACTCTCTTTGCTTAAAGGATCCCCTTTAATATTTCCTGCAGGGCTGGTTTAGTGATCACAAATCCTTTAATTTCTGTTTCTCTTGAAAGCTTTTTATCTCTCCTATTTTGATTGACAGCTTAGCTGGATACAGTATTCTTGGCTGCATATTTTTCTCATTTAGCAACTTGAATATATCATGCCAGTCCTTTCTAGCCCCCAGGACTTTGTGGTTAGGTCTGCTACCAGTCTGATGTTTCTACCCTTGTAGATTATGGACCTCTTGTCCCTGAGCTGCTTGTCTCTGAGATTTGCAAGTTTCATTATTATATGTTGAGGTGTTGACCTATTTTTATTCATTTTGAGGGGGGTTCTCTGTACCTCCTGGACTTGAATGCCTGTTTCCTTCCCCAGATTAGGGAAGTTCTCTGCTATAATTTGCTTCAATATACCTTCTGCCCCCCAACCCCCAACTCTCTTTCTTCTTCTGGGATCCCAATTATTCTAATATTGTTTCATTTTATGGTATCACTTATCTCTCAGATTCTCCCCTTGTGACCCAGTAGTTGTTTCTTTTTCTCAGCTTCTTTATTCTCCATCACTTTGTCTCCTATATCACTAAGTCTCTCTTTTGCTCATTTATCCTAGCAGTTAGAGCCTCCATTTTTTATTGCATTTCATTATAGCCTTTTTGATTTTGACTTGATTAGATTTTAGTTCTTTTATTTCTCCAGAAAGGGATTCTCTAGTGGCTTCTATACTTTTTTCAATCCCAGCTAATATCTGATATCTTTATAATCATTATTCTGAACTCTAGTTCTGACATCTTACTTATATCCATACTGATTAGGTCCCTGGCAGTCAGTACTGCCTCTTGTTCTCTTTTTTGAGGTGAGTTTTTCTATCTTGTCATTCTTGCAGAAAGTGGTCATTTTTCTATTTGTAGAGTTGCAGCTATTCTTTTCTTAGATATTTGGTTGAGTTCGTCGGTGTTCAGAATGATTTGATAGCTATCTAGCTGAATTCCTGGGACCAGATGAAACTACTCTTCCACCATCTTGGACTATTCTCCAGGCAATGTATTTATTACTAGCACATCCTCAATTTCCTCCTTTCTTTCCTCCCTTCCTTTTTTCTTCTCACCTTCTCCTTTCTCCTTCCTTCCCTCCCTCTTTTCTGCCCTTCCTCCATTCCTCCCTCCATCCTTCCAGCATTCTTCCCCCTGCTGGGGGGTCCTCTTCTCCTTTTCTGCTCTTCTTTTTTCTTTCTTATTTCTGTCTTTTTCTTTCTCTTGTCCTTCCTTCCCTAGGACACAAAGGGAGCAAGACCCAATCCTGCCCTCACAGAGTTTACCTTCAAATGGAGACATTTCTCCTTTACAACCTTGTTTGTGTAACTTGCATAAAATAATCATATGTACACACCTCTTGTCTTCACACCAGAGTTTGAAAGCTATCTCTAGCCATGTACTTACAGCTATGGAAAACCGCTGAATGTTTTCATCCTCACAGTCTTGGATGACCTTATTCAGTCGATGGTTGTCATGGGATTCCCCATCAGTCACAATTACCATGACTTTTTTAACTCCCCTTCGGGCACCCCGGGCTTCAGTGAAAGCCTCCTTCCTGAAGTGATCACAGAAGAAAGAGAAGCAAATAAAATGCCACCTCAAGGTTAGGCAAAGTGATAAACAAAAGAAAAACACTGACAACTCTAGTTAGAACAGTGCTGTCCTTCCACGATCAACATTCACAACCACTGTTCAAGCTGGGAGGCATGAAGATCATTATTTGTAATAGTCTTAGATTTCTCCCAGATGATGAAGAAGTCACCATTTTAGTAATCATCACATATCCCATATACAAAGGGCAGCACTATTTCATTCTTTGGAAACTTCTCAGGGAAGGTGTGACTGGAGCACACATCAGATCTGGAGAAGGTCAGATCTTAAATACTTGCTCAGCCACTCCTTTCTCTATAAACACTCCTCTTTTCTTCTGCTTTTGGCAGAAGCTTTTGCTTTGTCCTCACTTCCACCACATCTATTCTGACATTTATAGAACAGTATGGAAATCCTCTGAGCTGAGGAGGGGAGCTGGGAGAAAACAGAATTTTGTATGGCTGGAATGCTTGAGAGTGCTCTTGGATATGGGGGAAAAATTGGACATAGTAATAAAAGACTGCTGATGGCTGTGGTCTGAGTCAGTGATAGAGCAGGGCTATGGGGGGCAAGAGTGGATGGAGTAGCTATGAAAGATTTGGTCTGAACTAGGTTTTAGGACACAGGCTGGTGGGGGTAGGATGGAAGAAAGCGGCACAGAGAGAAAGGGAAAATGCTATAACCTAACTGCAAAGAAAGGAATTTTTTATTTAATTCAAAAAGCATTTATGGAAAGCAATGTAAGAGAGGGGAAATTAACAATTTTTGTTGTTTTTTGCTTCTACACACACACACACACACACACAGACACACACACACAGAGGCATATTTTCCCTCTATTATTTTCTTTCCCTTGCTCACTTTCCTTTCTGGAGTCAAGTACATTTTACTTAGGAATGAAACAATGAAAGGATTTCATATAATATTTTTTAGATCTTGGTATAAAATGCAGCAATAATCATACTGAATGGTCTATTTCAATATTTTTCTTTGGTCATGAGGACAAACAGCTGCAGTTTGGGATATGCCAAAAAAACATTTCTCTTAAACTAACCTCCCAAAGGGTTTGCACAATACACATTAGTTTTACTGTAGGTACACAATAAATATACACAATGGTGGGTATCTTGTGAGCAGGCTAAAAGATCCCGGTGATGTGGGCAAAGGAATTTTATCTCTGTTTATTTTCCTTTAAAAGTGCTAAATGTCAATATGACAAGATGTTAATAATTGTTGATTTGTTTGGTGAGTACATAGGATTTTGTTGTACTATTTTTTACATTTTTAATTTTTCTTACAATTTTCAAAATAAAGAAACTATTTAAAAAAGTTGGCCACTAGGGAACTGTGTATCTCTGCCCTCTACACTACACAGATAGATTTTCTGACTTTATATGCACAAACAAAGGTGAAAATAGATGTTAAAGGCTAGTCTTTATTTTTTTATTATATATATATATTTTAAAGATTTTATTTATTTATTTGAGAGAGAGAGAGAGAACAAGCAGGAGGAGCAACAGAGGGAGAGGGAGAAGCAGGCTCCCTGTCCAAGCAGAGCGCCCAATGTGGGACTCGATCCCAGGACCCTGGGATCATGACCTGAGCCAAAGGCAGATGCCCAACTGACTGAGCCACCGAGGTGCCCCAAAGGCTAGTCTTTAAATGAAGTTCAGAACATGAACTTATCATATAGGATTCTATCCTTTTTGCAGTCCTAACTCCTTAGAGGATCACCAAGACTTCCCAATTCTCTTGAAGATCCAGGCCATTACTGAATGAATCTCAACCAATGGAGATGATTAAAAGACATTTCTTAAAGAAAATCTGGTAAATCTAAACAGGGGTTGGTTTTATATAATGTAAGAGTAGCCACTGGCAGAACTCTTGAGTACACTCTTTCTGTTTCAAATATCTTCAGCAAATTGCCCTTTACTCCCAAATACTACTATCCAATGAAAATAGAAGTAAAGAATTCTAAAAAATGAAAAATATTTTTTTGCAACTGGCCCTGCCTAAAAGGAATAGAGAACAATTAAAAATATGCTTCAGTGTGAAAAACTAATGTACAAGAAGGATACTTAGTAATACCATTATTGAGTTTTATTTATATACAAAACTCAATAAACTATGTGTCTGACAGCTAGACCCTTTGTGAAACATGTAGGCAAAAACCATATAGGGTCATGGAATTTAGAGTGTATTTATGCAGGAGCAAAGCAGCCAGAATATTTCTTCAGTTAGTTTTCAAAGATGAATATTCATTCTTAAGTGGTTGCCTTTGGAAAACACAGCTCCCTACAGGCTCAGAGCTTTCAAAGAACACTTTGATTTACTTTGAATGTGCAGTCACATTTAGTCAATTATTTAAGAGGGTGCATTCAGTACACCTCAACATGTGCACTCTTTGTGCATGCAAATTGGTGATCCTATAGGCAGGTAAATGTAAAATTACCCCATCTGTTTGTGGTTATTTTCTCTTGAGCCCCATATAACTAGAACCACATGCTTCTCTAACACTTACGAGTCTAAGGCTGCACATGAAATTTTAAATTTTTGAATATCCAACCCATTCTTTGGAATATCCATGTTAACTATTTTAACCCCCTTAAAATACTGATCTTAGCAGGCAGGTGAAATGAGAGCATGGCTAATTAGCTCTTTAAAATGAGATGAGAGTCCAGAAGTTGAAGACACTTAACAGAAGGATCCTTAATATTAGTCAAACTATTTATTAGATTTCCTGTGATTTTGGTATTGTTTAGTTTTTGTTTAGAACCTTACTAGCTTTAAAGGCAACTTAGGAAGAAAATAGCAAGAGATAAGAGTTGAACGTAGTTGGGAAAAATATAGAAAAACTGTTTCACATTGTAATCAAAGGACAGTTCTGTAGCTTCTCATAGAATGAAGTTCAAACAGAGTGGATTATGTGTTCTCCATGGAGGTATAGGAGAAAGGAAGGGATGTAAATTAGAGGGAATTTGGAGAAAGGAAGAAAGAAAGAGTGCACAAATGATGAAGTTCTTGCAACTTCTTTTAATCTTTTCACTGAAAATGATTTCAAATACAGCAATGTTGAATTTGACCTCTTAAAGACTCTTACGTGAGAGCTTCAATAACCCTAAATCAGGTACTGTAAAATTATGGACATACTAGGATATAAATATATATTGAGTAGAAGTGAATGAATATTAATCCTTTTTTTTAAATGAGATTCCTAGAAGCTGTAGACAAAGAACAAAGGGAAAAGATATTCACTAATATTATGTCTTAGTACCCAAGAACATGATGCAGCAGACTACAGTAATTTTCTGATTTTTCCATCATTTCAACCTTTGGAATAAGAGGAAAGATATGAAGGGTGGGGAGACTATATTGTAGAAAAACTTGATCCTATAACTATTAGTTAATCAGTGAGATCTAGTTTTAAAAAAAAGATGGCTTTAAATATTGCCAAGGTAAATGTTCAGTCGACACTCCAAAGGGCTTGATTGTGAGCAGTTATTTTTGCACAGTCTTTTACTTTGGTTTATTTTTTAATCCACATACCTGGCTGTGTCTATTCCAAGGGCTGTCATAGTCTGGCGGCCACCTCTCTGGATTATTTTATTTGCTGCAACAAGTACCTCTTCTGTTGATGAATACTTATTGAGGTTGAACTCATGGGTTACATTTTCTCCATACTGTACAATTCCAACCTGAAACACCAAGCCACTGTGAGTTATCCATTTAGCAATGTTCCGTTTTCAATTTTCTTTAGTTTAAACATGTAGATCAGATATACTTTTTTGTCTTTCAGATGAGTTTAAAAATTCATCAGTACACAAATCCTTCTATTTTGACAGCAATAATCATTGCCACTTGTGGATATTCACAGCCCAAAGAACAAGAATGATAGTGCTACTATTAAACTTCCCAAACATTGGTTTATATCTTCAATAGTTTCTACTGGATGACTCTGGCAGGCCTTGGTGGGTAGAAGGTGCTACACACTGACATGCTCTCTGCCTTCACAGAGTTTCTAAACTAGAGAGAGAGAGAGAGAGATTCAACACATGATCATTCCAGTGCATGTTCAACTGTGGAGAGGGCTATAATGCTGTTTAGCAAGTAGAACCTAAGGCCCTACTTCAGAAGAGGCTCAGGGAAAGCCTCTTAGAAGTGATAATCAAGTTAAGACTGGAAGGTGCAAGGAGGGTGGAGACCTGTCCTGAATGGAGGCTGAGTGGGAGGATGGGGTCCACACGAGGGGAATCTGTATGTAAAGAAGATGAGATGAGCAAAAAGCAAGGGACGTCCTGAGAACCGAAAGGAAGTCAGTGAGCCTGGACCAGGCTGTGAGGGTAAGTGAAACAAGATGAGGCTGGGTGAGTAATAAGCGGGGCATGTATCTGGGGAGGGCACATATGCACTTCAGGCTTTATCTAGTTCAGGCATAGCTTCATTTCTCTCATGCCAGCCCTTCTCCCCACTATCCCTTTTCGTGTTATCTGTCTTCCCTTTCTTTCTGACTTCCCCTTTCACTCTGTCCTTTGCACAGACTGGATAATTTGGGCAGCTAACTGCAAAGCCACCAGAGAGTAAAATGATATAGAGGGTAAAGTGTCCCCAGATTTGATTTCCCTTGCTCCATATACCTCCCCTCTCCCCTAGAGACGCCCATTTTTCTTATCCTTTTTCTATACCTTTCCTTAAATGTTGATGTGAACCAATAGACTAATCTATATCAAGAATTGTGACTGGAGATAACTTTTTGTTTAATTTTCTCTACTCAAAATTCGAGATTCAGAGAATTCTATACCCAAAGGAATGTCTTTTTAATGTAGAAATCTGGACACTTCATTTCTTGGGTTGGGGAAGCGATTTGAGACAAGGTTGCCTTGTCCACTCTCAAGGTCTTATCCTTGACCTTCTCAACAGGAAAAACTGCAGTACCTCCATCTCAATTTCAAGTGTTCGTCTGTCTGACCATTAACTTCAGTTCATTTACCTAGTATATCTAATTCATCAATTCCTTCACCACATCAAGACTTCCAATTAATTCAGAGATCGTACTTTTTTTTTTTTAACTTAGCATAGATTTCATGGTCCATCACCACAATCATTTACTTGCAAACTTTAACTCCTTTAACCTTTTTTCCCCTCCATTAACTCACTTGGCTAACTTCCAACTCTGGTTAAGTCCAAATATCTTCTTTTCTTTGCGAGCTTCTGTGACACTAAATGTTTCTAGACAGAAATCACACAATTTATAGACTGGTCTCACTTTAAAGTTATGGCCATGAATCTCTAATGTGGTTGCACATAACACTGCCCAACAGTCCTACTCCTTGGTACTAATGAGTGCACTTTGCTCCCATTTATTGAGTTCAATCGAATTCTAGTCATAAGCTATTAACTGCTCAGGAAAAAGAGAGTATCACACTGATACATGGGGAGGAGGTCACATGAAAAGAGATATAATTTATGCCAATTAAACAAGGCTGCTTTGTGCCATAATATTTGACATTTGCAACATACTTTACATATCTTATAAAACCTTCTATGAACTATTGGATTATCTGGACACCAGGAATAGAAGAAAAATGTTAGCCCCTTGTTAAGTCAGAAATCAGTGCTTTATATCTTTTCCCTCTCTCCCTTTCTCTACCGACTTAACATATATCTCAATTCCATAAGTTTATTCTTTAGAGAACTTATAACTGCCAGTTGCCTCACCCTTTCTTCATACTTTGCTTCTAACAACTCCACCTGAGGGTCTCTTCAAATGGCTGACTGCCCTTGGACTGCTAGAGCTGCTTTGCCCCAGAGGCTGAAAGAGCCCGAAGTGCCTGGAAATTTTCTCCCTCCTCACCCCTCGCCCTGCTCCATAGATGATGTCTGAGTCCAGGCAGGGAAAGATCAGTCCCTTGACTCAACTTGGAGCTCCCCTTCCAGATCAGCCTGAGGTCTTGATTTCACCTGAAATCACACCCTTGGTTGTCCTCAGTTGCTACTGTTTCGCTCCCCCAAATCTCTTACTATTTTCTTTTAAAAGCACTCCTTAGTAAATCACTGTTACTTGGCTCATTTTCTCAGGGTTTGTGTCTGGGAAACCAGACCTAGGGGAGGGAGAGATGATATAAAGCACTGATTTCTGACTTACCAAAGGGCTAAAATTTTTCTGCTATTCCTGGTGTCCAGATAATCCAATAGTTCACAGAAGGTTTTATAAGATATGCAAAGTATGTTGCAAATGTCAAATATTATGGCACAAAGCAGCCTTGTTTAATTGGCATAAATTCTACCTCTTTTCCTGTGAGCTATTATCCCTGTTTCTGAATTTCTTCATTGGCCCAGACCAGACCTCACTGCCTTCAACCTGGACTGTGGCAATTGTTGGTCTCTCTGCTCTTGCTCTCCCTCAGATTTCCATTCTCCTCAGCTCCATCTACATATTCATGGAAGATTAACTGTCTTGAAATTCTGCTTTTATGACATAACTTCCTTCTTCAAAAATCTCTAGTAACTCTCCATTGCCTACTACATCAATGACTTTGAAATATACTTTAAAAGAGAATTTTTATTCTACTTAAGATGGAAAACAGATAAAACTTCAAGGTGCTCCTTGAAATACTAGACCTGTACGGTAAAATTCAGTTTTCTTTCCCTGACCCGCAGTCACTCAACAGCCTGACTGCACCTTCTTATTCCCCCTCAACTCTAGGATTCCCCAGTCCGAGTGCTGTCCCTACCCTTTCTCATCCCCCCCCATAAAACTAAATTTTTACTACCCATTCTGGAAGATTCAATTCAAGTTTCACTTTCTCTGCAAAACTTTCCCAACCTAATCACCAATCTAGATAATACTGATCTTCCTCTTCTCTGAACCCTGAGGCAAACTTGTCTGTTTTGCTTGTGTGAGTACAGCATTCTTCTCAACTGCTTTGTATGTGTGCTTTATCTCCCCAACTACATTATATGTTCCAGAGGGGCAAGGAGGGGTAAAGAGCATGGACTATGTCACAGCTTTTGGTACTCTCTTATCCCACGCCACTGTTTTGCTTTGCTTACGGTTGACCCGCATACATTCTTACTAGATGACTGTAACATTTCACATAAGCAAGTAGAAAATTGAGATAGCAGGGAAATAATGATAAGCAGAAGAAGAGAGACAAAAAGAAGTGTGGGAATGAGAAGACTGGGCAGTAGAAACTGAAATCTCAGGGAAATGACCCAGTGTAGGTCCCTGGCTGATACTGGGCTGCATATTTCCTTAGGAACCAGGCAGAGTAAGACCTGCTGTGCCTTCCCCATAAAAAGAGTTCCATTTATTGATTTTGATCACAGGAAAATGGTCAAATCACAAAACAAACATAACTAATGCTTTGCTGAGTATTGATGAGACTCAGTGAATAGAAACAGTTTCAGTCCCAGCTTAGTGTATAATTTAAGGCAGGTAAAACAGATTCATACTAGCACCCTGTGTATATATGCATATGCAACAGAATCAAATAAAGGTCATGATTAAATAGCAAGATAAAAAGTGAGCCAAGTGATGAACACACACTGAAGGAGGCTGGAGGAGAGAAGCACAAGCACATTTACTGTCTTGCATTGAAAGGCCTCATGGAGGGAAGAAGATGCAGCCTCCTAAGTGAGAACCCCAGGTAAAGAACAGACAATGGGTCATCAATGTGTAATGGGAGAAAGCAAAGCTGTCTGGAGCTTGGAAAATATGTCAAAAATGATGAGGAATTGAAATCATTCTAGAAATTGAGAAAAGTAAAACAGCCAATAATCATCATATTTGACTTGAAGCAGTCAGTTGCTTCAGTTGTTGGAATGATACAAGAACCAGAGGGTAGAAATTAAGTAGAACACTGTTGAAGAGTAATGGGGATGAAAAGATTCTAGGCATGTTTGCTAAATGGAAATAAGTAAGCAGGGATGGCAGCTAAAAGAAGCAATAGGTTCGATGTGAACTTTAAGAGAAAATGGAGAAAAAAGTAGCTTATGACCTCAGTAAGAGTACAGGAAGATAGTAACAACACTCATAAGGAGTGGATGAATCCCAAGTAGAATGGTTGCTTTCAGAGACACCTGGAAAGGAAGCCTTTACTTCCTAGGGAGATACAGTTTGAACTTCCTGATTAAGTAGAACAAAAGATATAGGTATGTAATTATAATCTAAGGCCAAAGAGAACTAAGATTCAGGCTAGAGAATAAATCAGGCACACAATGGCTGAGGATTCTGTTACATGAACCAGAGGTTTGTAACACTGATTCAAACCCTCCATTTAAACATGAGATTTATAATCCTTCTTCAGCTAAGCCATGAACTAATATTCCCTTACCCCTTTCCTAGGGAGTACTAGCATCCTTTTGTATGTTACTAGGTATGATATTTAAAGAGTTCCATGGTCAAGTAATCTTGGAAAACAATGGGTAACACAAAGTTAACATGTATCTTTACAGCAGGACCCCCTTCTACACCCTCTCTGTCTCTCTGTTTTTATCTTTTTTGTCTGCCTCTCTTTCTCCCTTTGCTATTTATATTAACTAAAAAAAAAAAAATCCACAAATTTCGAATGCAAAAGACCAAGGCTTTCTCTTACTTCTGTCCCCAGTTGCTCTACTCTGACTCATAAGCAAATTCTTTTGAAAGTGCTCTCAGAGGGCACCTGGGTGGCTCAGTTGGTTGGGCGGCTGCCTTCGG